GATCAAAAGCATGAGTGGGAGTTCTTTGCTGTGCCATACTGGTGGAGCTGGAGAAGGTCTCAAAACAATGGGAAATTCTTAGTGAACACCCTTACTACAGACAGGACCCCATGGAGCTTCTAGGAGTTAAATCTACAGGAAATAAGAAGATGGTGAGGAAGTGTGAGAGATGCAGTGCAGACCATTCCTAATAGAAGTAAAACAGAAGACAGCTCAAAATATAATATTGGGAATATAATTGAAAAAGATGTTTTTTGAATGAACAATAACCTTTAAATTCTTTAGTGTGTGTTCTCTGAGCTGTAGAATGTTCTGATTGTCAAGGCAATTAGCTTTTAAAAATAGTTATTTTTTTAGATTTTAATTACATGCTGCATTTTGCCTTTGTTATTAGATGGGGTCAGTAAGGTTACTGAAGTAATTATTGCGCTCTGCTTGGCACTGGTTAAAGCATAACTGGAGTAACTACATTCAATTCTGTATGAAAATATGTGGACAAATTGAAGAATTTAGAGTGGAAGAAAGATGGTAAGAAGTCTGGCATTCAGATCTAAGAGGAAAGGTTAAGATAACTTGGCACCTTTAGCCAAAAGGCAAAAGTAGAGTGTGGGGAACATAATAACGGGAGACATAAAGGAATGTTATAAAGAGGACAAGGATCAATTATTCTCATTAGTCAACAAAGATGGGACAAATAATAATTGGCTGAAGCAGAAGGGAAGTTTTAGGTTAAATATTAGGCAAAACTGTAGAAGAACTGTTTGGCAGTTGGACAAGCTGCCAAGAGCCGTTGGACAATCACTGTCGTTGGAGTTATTCAAGGCCAGACACCCATCTGCAGGAACAGTTATAGAATAATTAGATCAATCCTGCCACAGACAGAAGGGTAGGGTCCTTCTGGCCTCAGTGACCAAGATTTTGTTATGGATCTACTTTTTCAGGATTCATGCCCACCTGCTATTTTGTAAACTGTGGTGTCTGCTTTAGATTCTTCTAAAATCAAGAAAGAGAGCAACAATTTAAAGTTGCTCTTCATAGGGTCAGAAAACATGTGAGAAATAAAATTATCCCCTGATCTGTGGCCATGCATTTCTTTTTATGGCTTTTTAGAATGAGACTTCCTCTCCTCTGGGCGTCTCTGCTTTGTCCCTTTGAACATATGAGCTCTGGGAGCATAAAGTAGTAACCAAAACAGAGTAGAATGGCTTTGGACTTATTCATTGCTATTCACTACTTTATGGCAGCTTTTAGAAGTTGAATTGTAAATAATGTCTGTGTTTTATTGACAATATGCCCCTCATCTTCCCTACTACTTATATGGTGAAACCAGTCAAGCCAAGCACAGACTCTGCCTTTGTGGTATCAGCAGATCTCTTCCCATGGATCTGTGGAGATGCTGAAAACAATGCAAACCAGGAGTAACTCTACAAAAATTTGCTGTACTATAAAATGTTTGCCAGCTGGATTGGACCCAAAGATTGGCCTGGACAGGTTCTTCTTCCAACTACATAGGGAATGTCAAGGCATGGCTCCAAATACTGGTCATTGTGTTTGCAAGCAGAGCAGATCATTTTTAGAGGTACATCACACTGTTTTCAGCACATCCGAGATTGGAATCTGGCTGCATGATGGACAAAAAAAGAGATGGCTTACATTTGCTCTGAGAGGCACTGCAGAGATGATACAAAGGGCAGTGAGCTAATTTGTATTGCAAAGAGTGGTCTTAAAATGTAATTACATATGCAATTATAAACCATGAGCCCAGCTTGTTTATTTTTCCCCTCTAGTGCTAATGAAAAACAAAGTAGTCATAGTGTTTTGTGAGATCCTGGTGCAATGCAAGCAATCATTTGGCTGGCTAACTGGGAGGCAGAGGCACAGTATGACATTGGTTGTGTTAAAAAAAAAGAAAAAAAAAGGAAAGAAAAAAAAAATGAATAATGAATAAAAGATAACAAAGATTTTAAATCCCAAAAATAATGACAACGTTGTATAAAATCCTTGTTTGCTAAGCCTCATAACACTGAGCAACCTCTAGTGTCTGGAATGCCTTGGCTGGCTGTGCTCTGTCCACTTCTAGCTGGTAATGTTATCTCAGAGATACAGGGATATGTCTGCAGTGGAGATAACCTCTCTGCTGAGTCAGGAGACCAGAAAATGGTCAAAGAGCAGGAGATGCCACTGCAATGTGATGCACCACCCAATGTGTAAAGTGAACCATCCCATGACTGGAACCATGGGGTGCCTTCATTAAACTCCATTGTTCCTTTTTTCCCCACACTCCCATTTCCTGTGACACAAAGGAAAAGGTGCTGAGGTGCTTTGAGGGGGCTGCCTGGTGACTTGGGAGCCCTGGAAATCTAAGCAGGCAAAAGCTCCCCTGGGGAACCAGGCACACGTCTGTGTGATGGCTGGTTGCTTCCAGCCAAGAGGCAGGAAGGGTTGATGGTCCTGCAATTTGCTCTCCCTCATGGTCCTTGTATGTCCAGGGCCTCTGTGAGGAACCATGGCAGTCTCATCTCCTGGCTTCACTTTCCCTCAATCTGAGGATTCTCATATCATTTTCTGCAAAGTGTGTAAAGGGACAGGGAAGATGCTTTACACAGGCCTGGTTTTCTGCCCTAAAAGTGTTGAAGGAGACCTTTTCATACCATTAAATCTGTATTTATTTTCTAAAAGCAGATTGTACACTCGATGAAAAACTAATATTTAAGCAGACAATGGCCTTTGAATTGAGTTATCCTTGGAAAATATTACAGATATATACACATACATGTCTAACAGGTCATGCATCTAACAGGGGAGGAAAGAACCTTTTCTTCCATAACATCTATTAATGAGTCTACGTGCAAAACTCCATCAAATGGTTTTTGGAACTATAAACCCTCCCTTTCTTGGCTTAGTTCTTCAAGCTTTGCTAACCCACTTTTTTTTTTTTTTTTTTGATGCTGTGTCATCCTGGACTAATTCACATGTGAGTGTGAGGGGGAAGAGTACCTTCACCACCCCTTCAGTGCTGAACTGAAGTGGCCTGGAGGGCCAAGGGGCCAGGCATTCCTACCTACAAAAGTGGCTGGTATCTTAGTGTGGAAGGCAATGCAGGCCTAACACCACTGGGCTTTAATAACTCAGAGCTGCTTGGTGTGGCCATCCCTGTTGTCCCTGTGGATCTCCTTTCCTGCTCTTACCCCTCTGTAACCTCGGGTACCCTTGAGACCCAACCCCCTCGCTTCTAATTCACTTGGGAACTTGTGACATAACAGCATTAAGCCTCTGCCTGCTCTGGCTTTTTCTGTGAAGGGGGTGTTTTAAATAAGATTTCTGCTGCAAAGTTGAAAGACTGGAGGAAGAAAATCTGACATGACTTAGGGGTAGCACAAACGAGTCATAGGAAACTCACTCTAGAGATATCTCCAGAGACTAGTCAAGACAAAAGTTACAGCACAAGCATTTGGAAGGGGGCCACTGCAAACAATTTGTCCTCATTCCAGTTGAGCAACTGTAAGCAGGGACATTTTCAACACAGGCCATTTAGGGACAGAAGGAAAGATTGGATGGCACTAAAAGAAACTACACAAATACGTGGTGATAGGATGACTCGGCCACCCGCCACACATATTCTGCTGCTTCGTTTTTCTTTCTCCTGTCATCCCGACATCTGAAAAGGTTCCACCCCAGCACAGCAGCACAGCACAGCGGAGACTGGAATAAATTAACTCCAGGTGACAAAACCACCTTCCTCATCTGGCCTATGTTTGCAAGGAAGGAGGACAGAGGTCATATTTGTGTCAGGAGCTGAGGACAACGGGGTGAAAAAGGAGCTGAGGACAACAGGGTGAAAAAGAAGCTGAGGACAACGGGGTAAAAAAAGATTTTCCTTGTCTAAGTGAGCAATATAATAAACATAGGGAGAAAAGATGTTTTCCTCTGTATTTTTCTCCCCGAGTTTTTGGGTTTAAGGGACTGCAGTCATCCTGTTTTTTTGAGGAAATACTTGAATACCGTTATTTCAATTTCTTTAATCCTTCTCCTCCCCCCTCATTTACAAGCTGTTCCTGCTCTACTATTTTCCTCAGCATGCCAAGGCACCATACCTTTCTGTGGAAAGTTTCTGCCACCCTCTCTGATTTTGTATTCATGCCGCATAAATAAGAACAAGACCTCCCTCCAGCACCTTGGCATGATGTGGAGAGTTGGGTGGGAGGATGGTGCGTGATAGAAATATTATGTAAGCAAGGTTTGAATGTCTGTAGCCCTAGCTCTAGACAGCCGTTATCCACAGATATTTTAAAACTGCTTCTTTTTTCTTTTTTTTTTTTCTCCCTTCTGAGCATCACATCACAATACGGTTTCATTCAGTGAAGAGCTGGCATTCAGAGGCTGGATGGCTTAACTGGCCCAGATGGGGTGCCTTTCATCTGTAGGTCATTGCTTTGAATTCTGCCCACATTTTTGGCTACTAGGAGTTCTTCTCTTCTGACGGCAGTGCAGCAGCATATGCAAAATTGCTAGGAAGTCTCTGATCCTAGACACCATGTCTAGATCATAAAAGCTACCATAACAATGAGTCTAAATGGCACCCCTCTTGGCAGCTGAGGCAGAGGCCAAGCAATAAAAGGACTATGGAGAATGGGCTACTGTCTAGCATCTATAAGCTAAGAGTGAGGAACACTAGTGAGGGAGTGTGAGAAACTATGCACAGCCCATGAAGGCTCTTTTGGTTGAAGAAAGAGGATTTCAGTCTCCTAGGCTGAAAGGCCAACACCTTTCAATAGAAGACAAACCATTTACAAGTGCAAGAACAAAACCATTGTTAGTCCTCGTGCCTTTAACAATGCTGCTTCCTGTTGGCATCTTTTGCTTACCAATAACACAGTCCCATAATTTGTATCTCCACAGTGCTACACGAGCACTAACTAATTAATCCTTTTTCACTCCTTTGAGGTAAATGATTTTTTATTTTTAATGGTCTGTAGTGGAGACATCTTCCTTAAAACAGATTTCAGATAAGTTTACAAAGGCTACATTATGCTGACTACACAGTGGATGCTAACACTAGGATTTATGCTTTTGTTACAGCTATTCCAGTTCAGGTAGGCTACAACCAGTTATATGTTCTGCTGAACGGAGGTCTTAATTAAAATAAATGAGTACTGAATCTTGGGAAAAAAAACCAAAAACAAGTCAGAGTAGGCCAGGGTTACAGTATAATGATACGAAACAAACAAACAGCCCCTCCTTTCTGCCCCCCAAACAAATCAACTCCCCTTCACTGGAATAATCTCTGGCTGTCTGACCTTATTTATTCAGATGCTGACATGAATCATCATCCGAGCAAGTACTCCCTCCTACACCTGCAGTACTTGGGGTTATAGCTCTCCTTGGTTTTCTGCGGCAATAAGATCTCAGTGTTACTTGGAGCCGTCTCCATCTGGCAGGCCATGAAGTCCACAAAAGCACAGAGGTCTTTCTGTAAAAAATGGAGACAGCCCAGATTGCTTTCCATTTACACAACATCTCAAGAGGACTCCAGACTTCTCTCTTTTGCAGTTACAGTCAAGTGTGCAGTCTTTTTCTCTCCTATCTACTTTTTGTGTGATGACCTCTTCTTGGGGTAAAGAACTGCGTGGGTGAGTTTGGGGGGAGGGGTTGTTCTTCTCTGAAAAGCCAAATTGCAGGATGCAGCACATCTTGAGCTTGGCAGCCTTTCACGCTTCCCCAAGAGGCAGCTGAAGGGCCCAAGCAGGGGTAAGACGTTATCAGCTCACTTCTACCCTGCCAGAGCATATCTTTACACACACATAGTGACACACTGCCTGCACCACTGTTGATCTTCATGGGCCAAAGGAGGTCCTTGGCTGGCAGCTCAGGGAATATCTCGTGTCATCTGAACGCCGTTACAAGGCTGAGTACTTAACGAACGAGTAGCTCTGCAGTGTTAGCCATAAAGTGTGTACAAAAGTGAAGGCAGTTAAACATTATGCTATCTGCCAGTCATTCATTGTTTGGAGAGAATATCCCAAGAGCATGGTTGAGCATTGGTGTCATAAAGATCTATACGTTGCTGTTGAAATGAGGTCATTTGTCACCATCTGGGATTATACCACTAGCAGTATACGAATGTATTCAGCTCCATGTTTCAGCCATATGGAAAAAGTGTAACATAGTGAGAAATGCAATCCTTTAATGGAATCCAGAGCACCCTCCAGAATGTTTTCCTTAGTTTTATTTCTTTGCAATGCAAGCTTAATAAGCACTGATGTAGCATTTAAATTGGAAGAGATGCGACATCTAGATAAGCTGGGAGATCTGCTGATACCAGCTGCCTTCTGATAGGAAAATCCCTTGCTGTTTCAGTGGAAAAACCCACCAGGCTTACTAGACCCAGAGGAAGGGTATGGCACAGCTGTGGCATGCATTTACCTCTTTTGACTTTTGTCTCTATAGACACCCTGAAGGGCTCCCTTATCACAACAGAAATATTCTCAAGTAATTATCACTCTGGAAAGTGTCACTCCTTTTATGAATTGAACATCATAAAATTCTAAAAGTGTAAAAAAATTGTGATTAGTGATAAAATCCTGATGGTGCACAAGAAAGCAGAAGTCCTTGTCTCCTTCCCTATCACCTACCCCTCCTAAAAGACTACGTTTGTCATAGAAAATTTGTGTTGATATGACCTCACAGCTTGTAGGATACTACGTTGATCCATTTGCAGCTGTAACACATAAAAATGGTCACAAATATAAACTCAAAAGCAGAAATATTTGTTTCTATAGTCTTTCCTGGTGGTGCCAGACTAGCTTCCCTATTTGCTGAATAGAGTACCTGAAACTAGATGTTATGTTGTTAAGGATCTGGAGTGATGCTGGTGAAGCTGAGAGGACTTCCTGTAAGAAATTAGTTCCATTGATTGACAAGCAATGCTGTCTGGACCAAACTCTGCTTCTGGCTGGGTGTTGTCTGGAGCGCCTGAAAGAATTTGGTGTAATTCTGAGTTTGACATCTTCGAAAAGGCTGTTACTGAGATGTACTTGCCATGGCATTGTAACCTAATCCCAGAAAAATGAAAATAAACCCTGAAAGAGATGGTGGGGTTTTCTGAGGCCAGGAGCAAATAATACATGTTGCTGTCTGGGAAAGGTACAAATAGCTGCAGCTCAGTGCAAAAGACTACATTATGGCTATATCTGGCTTAAGTGCTACATAGCTCTGTGGGCTGTTAACAGATGTTGCCAGAGCAACATGTTATGACAAGCTGTGTTGTATTTCTGAACCCAGTAATGTTACTGGCACCACCTCCTCCATCTGCCTGTGAATGGGAGTTACCTTTGGTTAAGTTCACAGCCCATCCCAAACAAATACCCTTGAAGCTCCATATGTGGCTCTAATGAGGCTCTGAGCTAAGTTCAGTGTGTGTGACAAATAGTCCTCTGATAGCCAAATTTTCCTTGTTGCTGTACAGGTCCATAGAGCTTGTCAGGATATTTTAAGGGCTACATTTTTAGAGGTGGATCAGGGGAGCATTTGACAGTAGGGAGGAAGTACAGATTGGCAGAAAATGGGGAAAGGGGGATGGAAAGAGGCAGATGAACTCTGCAATAAAGTAGTCATGTGGCAGTCCCATGCCTATATCTATATTCTCAATCAGACAAAGAAGGGATCTGTACTCAGGTAGGTAGATAATTTGCAATACAATTGAATTTGCTTGGGTAGACCCCTTTGTGTCTCATTTGTTGTAGAAAAGCTTAAACCCACTGCAATTAGTTTCAGGAAGTTTTTCAGAAAACTTTTTTTTTTTTATCAATCCTTTTACAGCTGTGTTAGGTTATTTTCTCTCCTTATGAAAATCCTGCAAATAAGCTCTTGGGAAAGGGTATGAATTGTGCAGTACATGATACCTCAGCTATTCAGCCTAGTAGAGGATGAGCTTTTCACACAGTGAAACAGATAAATCAATGGCAATGATGTAGGGAGGTAGTAAAGTCTGTGGGAAAAAAAGCACTTAGTATTCTGTAAGTCAGAATTCTATATTGTGTTGCTTAGTTTCTTTTCTTTCTTACTAATGCAGAAGAGACAACAATGCAGAAGCTCACCAAAGATTTCCTCCTTATTGGCCCTTCCTGATGAGTAGTCAGGAATGAGGAAAAATGAACAGAGGCTCCTTCCAAAGGGCAGCAGTGGTAATGGGTGCAGCTCGTGACAGCCCTCACTGACCCATCCTTCTTGGTTTGTGTGAGTCAAAGCAAAGAGTAATTGTGATGTAGTTCTTCATGTTTTGGTTTCTTGACAGAACAATAACACTGAAAGGATAAACGAAGTGATAAAACAAGCAAATCCTCTAACACTTTTATTATCTAATTGATTCTTTTCTCCCAGGCACAGTCTGCTCAGTAGCAAGATGGTGACTTGTAGTTTGTCAAAAGCAGCAGTTTGCTGGACCTGGAGACAGAAATGCTTTGAACAAGACAAAACAGGCATTTCAACAACTTTGCAAAAACTGGGCATTTAGTCTCTCTGTGAATTTGATATGCTAAAAATGACTGTGTCACGTGGTCTGTGACCAGAAGCCATGCTGGTCACGGCTGGCCAAAGCCAACAATGAATGGCCTGGGCCACCATTGCCAAGAGAAAAGGCTGATGCAGACCACAAGAGGCTTATTCCAAAAAGCACATAACCTTGAGGATCTGATCCACAAAAGTGCTGAAGTAAATGGGAGTTGTGGTTGCTCAACACTTCCACGGGTCAGGCTGCTCTGTCCTCATTAGCCATGCTGCTGCTGAATCCTACAAACCCTGACACTCCTTTCTGTGCAGATAAGCTATCGTGCTCCCAGCTCCACCCTGCCAAGGCCCACAGTCCTGCACCGAATGAAAGCCCCTAGAATACAACACTGGTATTCATTTTTGGTAGCCTAACATCTGCAGATGCCTGGTTTTACAGATCCTGCCTGTGACTAGCTCAGGCAGGCTGACTGATGCATTCTCAGAAAGATGGAGCTCACATGTGCAAGATCAGGAAAGCAGCCAAACCCTCAAAAGACCTATGAAGTAAAATAAGCAGGTTTCTGGGATTTGGACATGACATGTCTGCCATCTAGTAACTAGTCAGGGCTTGTTTCATGTAGAAAATGAAGAGTAAATAATCCAGTACCACATAAAAGAGGAATAAATTTACTGGGGCTTTTGACAAATGAGAAAAAGACTTTCAATGGTATTTTAAATGAGGTTCTTGGAAAACAATATAATTAATAATTAAAATAAAAATATGTGAATTCGTAAACTTGTTTTGTTTGGCTGTAAAAACAGTTGTATATGCTAAACTAATAGACAGGAATACAAGTGATGAAGTGTTACAGCAATAATAGTGTTGAAAACTCTGGGTCCCACTCTCAAATACAAAGAGGTTGTTAGCATGAGGTCCTGTTGGCATGAGATGTGATCTGGTAAAAATTTGACCAGTGAAGTGGAAGCCAGGACATCAGAAGTTCTGTGCTGTTTTGTTCTTTGATTGATTGGGTAAGGCACAAATTGGCACAAAGGACCACTTTCAGTCTCAGTTTACCCATTTGTAAATGAAGACGTATATCACAGTGATGTTATCAGACAGACTTAATTATTGTGATCTAATTAAAACTTCTCAAGCGTAAGGCATTATAGAAAGATGCAAAGTTTTTTGTTCCTAAAGTACACATAAGATTTTCAGATTTTCTAATCTTCTGCATTTGTATTTCATGGGTAACTTTAGCTGTGAATAATGTTTTCCTTTACACACACACACACACACATGTTCTGTTGAAAAATAACATTCTCTTTGCTTTCTAACAAAGTTTTCTGTAGTGTGGCTTGGCATCCAGAAATAAGGCTACAGTTCTGCTGAGCATTGATTTACTTTAAGTCTTCAATTTAGTTAATTTTTCTGAGCCATGCAAGATGCTGACTTGCAGATAGTTCTACAATAGCTAAAATACTGCTTACAGATATAATGCTGGTGGACAGTTTATTCATTATATAAAAGACCCCTTAACTTTACAAGCCAGAGTTGTTCATTATAATGAATGCTGATTTTCATCACAGGAACTATTAATCTTAATTTTAGCTTTTTGTACATAAAAGAGGATGTAAACAGCTATAGAAGTACAAGTGTTTGTTGTGCACAAGGGGAAGAACGAGTTAAGGGTCTCCTGATGAACATGCTACTGCTTTGGAAATACTGTGTCTCTCTTGCTAGAACATGGTGCTGGGTTTTTATAAAAAAGATCTAAGGGGCTGCTTGGTGATACTCTCGGTGTCCCTCTGACTTTACACTCCTTCAATAGGGAAGGACATGGCTCTGTCAGCCTCAGAGTCCTGCTCAAAGGTTGGTTTTTGGTTCTTGGTGGTAGAATAATGCTCTCTGACTTACTGGCAAATTGGATCTTGTATGGCCACCTGTAGCCTTACTGTGTGTCCTGCTGCTACTCACAGCAG